TTTTTTTATGTCAATATATCTATTAAAACTAATGTCAAGTCAACCATAGACTAAAAAAAGTAATGTGTGTTTAGTTAGATCGCCATAAACCGAAGGTCTGTTCTTTTGATTAGTATAGAAATAATGTCAGAAATGTTTATTTAATTGATTGTTGATTTACAAAAATAGAAAGTTTTTAAAAAGTCTATATTCTTTGTTATAATTTTCTATTGTTAATGATTAGATTCTATGCCCTTTTGTATTCTTATACATAAATATATATATATATATACAAATGTCACAAACTCAAAATTGATTTTTCTTTCATGCTTTACTCTACTCCACTGATATTAGCATCTAATATCCAGGCTAGCAGAGACGACAAGTGTTGAAAGACAAAATGTTTATATATATATATATATATATATATGTATATACCATTAGAATTTGCAACAACAGACCACCCGATGATAGTGAAAGTGGCGATGCCTGTCATCATCAAGCTCGACGTCTCTCTACTTTTTCTTTTCGACAATCGTGCTATATGTCAAATGATAATTAGAAAAGATGCTTTTTGTATATCCCCACATACGTTCTCTTTCTCAAACTACTACTGTTCCACGTGCTAAATAGATCTATTCATTCTCATTCTGCAGATAATATGCATACGTACGTTCTTATATTTCTGCGAATCATCTATCATCACTCATATAACTGTAACGACATTATATTGATTGAACAATAAGCGCATATATCATCAAAGATTTTATTAGATGATTTAAGAAAAAAGATATTAAAAATATTATCACTCATCCTGAACATACAATTGGCTAATACATCAAATAAAACGAAAGAAAGTTGTACCATTGGGGTTTTATATAAATAAAACAAAAATTATTATAAAGTTCAATGAAGATAAGTATTGCTATTAAACGATTCGTTGCAAACGAGATGAAAGATATACAGTCTGGTATATCACTCAAAAAGTTCTCACATGTTAGAATAGTAACCAGTTATTTTCTTTTCATTACAAATATCCAACCTCTCTTACAGGTTGGATATAACAATAGAAAAAGCACGTTGATCGGATGTAATATATACAAGTTAAATTTTTTTTTACTTCTCCTCATCATCATCATCAGTTATTGTACGTGCTCAACGCACACGACTAGTCAATCAACAAACATTTCCCTGTCTATATATATATATATACATATAATGAACAGTATTTATATACGTTCTTGTCGAATGATCAGTTGCAATAACACTAGCAGACGCGTTCATATCAACTCATTATATGAACCAACTGATGATCATGATAATAGGCAAGTTCGAATAGTAGATGAGCAGGTTGGCAAGTAGTAAAAGCTATTCAATGACAGTAAGAAAAGGGCAGAATAGATCGATACTTGTTCGTCTTCAGACTAGTGGTAAATATAAACAATTAACAATGTCGAATGAATAGAAAAGAAGAAAAGACGGCAATAATAAGATCTATTTATTTCCAGTTTGTCTGCTGTATTGGATAATATGATTGCTTCTATAGTCATTATCGAACATGTTAGTCTATCATAAGTCAAACAGGTTATCTACTCCACCCATTGCCTTTTTTTTTTTGTTCTTTTGATACACAACAAACGTCAATCAAAATCAATATCAATTTAATTATCATAAACTCACTTTCATATCTATCATTGGACCTGCGCGGAAGCGGCAAGAATTGTGATGTCTGTTTTCTCATCATTAACACTCGTTAAACCGGAACTATGCTTATGTTCAATTTAACGATTGTTCGCTTTTTTGAGAATATATATAATAGATTAAGAGAAAGAGAAGGAAAGGTGATTTATGAGCACATAAGTCGTTTGTTCTCAATAATGATAAATAGACACCAGACAACAATCGTTACCGACATGTCTTAAACCTTTCGTAAATTTACAACTTATCATAGATCGATATAAAAACTCGTATAGCAGGAAGCTCACCGAGACGGAAATTCATTCGTCGTTTATTTTTTTTTTCTTCTTCTTGTATATGTCTATCGAGTACGATCTATTATTGTATCGACAATGTTACAAACGAGCACACGACCCAAGTATTCATTTCCTGTTAGATCGTCCATTCAAATACAAAATCGGGGCCGAGAAAGAAATAAGCAAAGATATCTTGTTATTACCTTTCTTTTAATATAAAGAGAAAAAAAAAACACAATGTGACAAAGAAAAAAAAAAGTTGTATGTGATAAGGTCAGTTAATGAAATAAATACACAACAGATTGAATAGGGAACACAACAACAACAAAAAGAAAAATACTTGCCAAATACTTGAAAGAAAAAAAGTCTATGTTAAATCGAAAATCCAGCAGTACTGCTACAATCATCAGTGCTGGTTGTAATCGCAGTTGTGGTTGTTGTATGTTGTATGCAACTTTCCATATGTTTATTAAGCAATGACATACGTGAAAACGTTTTTGAACATTTTGTACAACGATATTTTTTTATATCCGAATGTGTTTGCATATGTGCACGTAAATTTGAACGATCAGCAAATGCTCGACAACATATTTCACATTGAAATGGTTTTTCTCCTGTATGTGTACGTACATGTCCTTGTAAAAGCCATGGACGTGAAAATGCTTTACCACAAATTTTACATTTACATGGTAATGTATGTGTACGTATATGCATTTTAAGTGCACCTAATGAATTGTATGTTTTGTCACAGAATTTACATTGAAATTGTTTTTTTTATTTGTGCTATACAATGAAATTGTTTATGTTTAGAAAGTCCACCGAATGTTGAATAAGATTTTGAACAACCATCACATTGATAACGGGAATTTGTTGTTGAATTTGGTGATGGTGATGATGATGAACAAGATGACGATGTTGGTGGTGTAGTAAAAGAATATGGTTTTTTTATTGAAGAATTTTCAGTTGATTGTATTGGATTCGTTTTTGACATTTGCATAGCAAAATATTGATAACTGAGATAGTAAAGATAGGAAAAATCATTTGTAGACATTATACGTGGAAATATCATTGATGTTAATGATGGTTTTGGAAATGCTCGATGTAATTTGGATTCATTTTCAAGTTTTTCTTCAATTGAATCATCATTCATTGATATATTTTCTTCTTCATCTTCTTCTTCTTCTTCTTCAGTTTCTAGTATTGATTCAGATGATAAAAGATTTGATATTAGAAAACTTTTACGATTGTCGGATTCTATTGAAATAGAAATTAATCATGAGTTTTTTTCTTATATGAAAATTAAAAATAAAAGTCTTACCAGTCATTGTTTCGTCTTCAATTATATGGTCTGTTGTACTACTCATCATTATTTCTTATATTCTAATGGAGAATTATCTTCTGTCTTTCTTCTTCTTCTTTTTTTCTCTCTCTCTATCGCGCTCTCTCTTGATATATGTTCTCACTTTTTATTCGTGTTCTTCTTCTCTCTTTTCTCGCGTATTCTGATAGGCTCTTCTATCGTTGTCACAATATATATAGCGCACTGACTGTGTTTTTTCTGCCACTATCCAACCAGCCAGTGTGCAATTATCGATGATAATAGTGAAGCGTTATTTCCGTTTCTTTCGCTTCTTCTTCTTCGTCTTCTGCTGGTTCTCTCCCTTTCTCGCTATTCCAACATAACTATGTCGTTATTTAGAGAAAAGTGCCAGCTAAAGAAGAAAAGTGCTGTAATTCTTTGCCTAAATTGCTCCATTTGATATATGCGATCATCATATACATATACATATATATATACTATTATCGAACCAATAGGAAAATGAAAAAAATATATAAAAATTATTATTAGATGCACTTGTCGACAACTTGTCCAATGAAAAGAAAGTAAAATGTATTGAGTTCTTACAAATGTAAATCATCAACTAAATTTAGGATTAAGCATTTTCCAATAAATAAATAAGGGAGTGATCATATAATCTTCGAAGTACAATTTCCAAACTGATTAGATTTATATAATATAAAGTCGTTTATCTAATGTATCTATTCACGTATCTTAATAATATTCTTCATTCAATATTTGTTTACGAAAGACAAGACATACAAAAGCATGCGTAGTACATATATATATATATATATGTGTATAGAAAAGTCAATCAATCACCTCTCTGCGTATCTGTTCATTATATAAAATTAAAACTCTAAATAAACAATAGGGAAAAGAGAAGAAGATACCGCCTTTCGACACCATTTATGAGCATGTTTCTCTGTTGATATTATTCGAATGAAGGTAACTACACCTAGCAAATAAATGAAGCTTAGTTCAACGAAGAAAGAAGGAAGGAGAAAGTCGTGATCTGCAAATAGATTTACATAAAGAAGAATAATGAATGTAATAAACATGATCTGCTGTTTTAATCTCTCAAGTTATGCTCATTAAATGCGATGAAAAAAAATGTAAGAACTTGTTTTTTTTCTTTAGTCAAAATTCTATACATTTATTCTCAACATGATAGATAGCATAGACACAGTTTGTCTTCTATCATCATTAGCATCATTTGATGAGTAAGATTTTCTTTTTCTTCATTTAAGGTAGATATGTTCGAATGTCTCTTCGTTGATCGACATAATAATTGTTAGTTTTCGTGTGCTTCTCAGCATGATACTTCATTTCGTTGTAAATCATGCTGTTGAACCTGATGTTTCTTTTATTATCATATCGAAATGTAATGTCACATAATTAGTAAGAAAAGCAGCTGTATCGACAGATAGACTTTTATTTTTGTTTTTCTTTTAACGAAAAAAATAATCGAAGAATATACATATATCTATATTTAACAGTTATAACAAATAGATTAGCATTAATTTTATTTTTCGATACAGTACTACTACAATAAGACTCAGAATTTATTCTTTTCACTGCTTTTAACAGTAATATAATAGTTTTCACGATGCACGATTGTTCTATACATGGTATACATTACAATAGATGAAAATATCATGTTAATAATTAAATATCTAAGTATGAAAGGTGAAAACAGCGTACTTTAACTATTTTCAAGTGCTTCACACTACTTTGAAAGATTTTCTCTGTAGTTGAGCAGTTTTTTATATAATTTTAAAGTACTTTCAAGTAGTATTTGACATATTTTGCTAGTACTTGAAGTTCGCTGTTTTCCCCCTGGGTGAGAAAGACAGTATATGGAGTTAGTAATAAATTAGTTTTACATCACTACACAATTATATGTATCTGATCTGAATATCGTTTTACTCTCCCTTTTTCATTCAATTTATATATTTAACGAGATTTTTACAAAAAATGTGTAACACACATATGAATTCTATTCATTCATGTCTGGCTGAAATATTGTATATATGGTTTTCTATTGTAAAAAAACAAAGAAATTAGATGTATTATCTATGGAAGTTTATATTACTAATTATTTATTGCATTGTTGATGTATTATTAAATCTTTAAAATACATATATATACAAAACTAGCGTTATATACGAAAATCAACTATAGCAAAACAAATAGATAAATGTTGAATTTGACTAATTATGCATGAGATTCATTCGTACAAATGAAAGATCTTATTTTGATGGTGAAAGTGTAGGTAATGGTTGTCTTTTCAAGACATCCATGATATGTTTTTGTTCATCTGATGGAGTTGTTGATGATGGTGATGATGATGATGGGATTATTTGAATATTCATATGTAATTGAGGTGCAGATGAAACATGTGTAATTACTCTGAATAAGAAAATAAATAGAATAGAATAAAATAGTTGTTTTGTTTTTTTTTACTTTAAAACATCTTCAGGTTCATATTGAGTTCCTTCATCAATAATGTCTCCTTCTTCACGTAATGGTTCAACTGTTTCAGCTAATGCAAATACAACTGGTTCTTCATCTGTTCCCTGTACAATGGTATAATCAATACCAGGTTCAGCTTCTTTTTCTTTAGCAAGCGTTGCTACAACAACAGATGGATCAACACGTTCAAGTGGTATTTTTGGTACAGCACCCCAAGCAAAATCACGATTTGTACATTTAACACGTGCATAATATGCAAGTACAGCAAGAAGAATTGAACAAATAAAAAGAAGTGGTAAAACAATTGTATGAAAATTTGGATAATCACTATAAGGAATTTTTAACACAGTTAATTTTGATGTTGCATGATTATTATTCATTGTCTTATTTCGTGAAATTAAATCATTTTTTTTAACATGTTTCGGTGTCCACCATGTAACATTTGGTTCAGTACCATTACGATCAAAACCAAAATAATGACTAACAATTGAACCAAATGATGCTTGACTATTCGTTATTGTTTTAGCTAGCCATGTTGATAGAAAAATAGATATTAATGACATTAATAATATACTACAAATAAGTGTCGTTAAACTAGATCTTGCTTCAATCATTAAATTTTTTGTTTCATCAACAATATCATTTGTATCTAAAATAGAATAAAATTAAAAATTAAAGCTAAAAAAATAATATAATTAATTAAATACCTTCACGAATTGCTTCGGCACCAGAACATCCATCACCATCATCTTGAGACATTTTAAAATCTTCAATAATATAAAATATTAATATAAAACAGTTTAATAGACAAATATTTACTTTTTAAATTTTAATTCAGATGAACAATGTACACAAAAAAAATGTTCTGATATATATGTTCATCTTATAGCATAATTGGTTCTTTTATTCAATCAATTATTGTGATTCTGCTTCAATATTTAACCATTGTATAATGACATCTTTTTCTCTTCGATCGCTACTATCAATGTGATAGTTAACATATTATTATAATTCGTTAATATATCCTCATACGAATAATATATATTCAGTTTAGTTTAGTTCAATGCCAAATCAGTTTTCAATATAAATAAATAAAATTTTGAAATTATGTCAAAATCTACATGTCCTTCACGTTTAGCTTCGGCAGCTACAACACCAGATTTAGATATAAATCAAATTCAATTACAAAATTTAATGGATTTTCGTAATCAAACAAATTCAAATGATAAACGTTTTAATAATGTAAATTATGTTCGACAAGTTCTACGACGATTTTTTGGTGTTTATAATAAAAAATCACCAACGATAAATTCAACTGATGATAATTCTACTGATCAATTAAATAATAATAATAATATTCAAGATAATTTAATATCTCCAATATTAATTCATCCATGTTTACAATTTAATAAACATGCTAAATTTTCTGGTAGATATTTAAAAGAAGAAAAAAAATAGTAATAAATGATTTATTTCCTTTCTTTTTTGTTTGTTAGGTGAATTATTACTTGATTGGTTTTTAATACATTTTGAAGGACGTTATGAGAATCTTCCATTAATTAAACAAGTTATTTTACAATGTTGTACTTGTTTAATTGGACTTGATGTATTGATAATGGAACATAATCAAGAGAGTGATTTATTTCAAGTATGTAGACAACTTCCCTTTTTTTTTCTTTATTAGATGTACGGGGTTTTTTTTTTGTTTAATAGAAAAAAAGAATTAGTAGATTTTGTGTTATTAATACACAAGGGAAATAGAATTCATCTGGAGTTAATCTTGTTTCAACTAAATTGTTTATTCTCGTGTTCTATTAAATACTCGTGATCTATCATTTGCCAAGTAAAAAATAAAGAATTAGTAGAGATAATAGTTTTGACTGGAAATAGTTTTAATCGTATATATGTATATGTATATAGTCGGACGATCATGCGTAGGAGAAGGTGTAAAAAGCCTTGTCCTATGACGAAGGTAATCAATTGTATTGTGTATAGATGAATGAGGTACAGGCAAAAAAAGAAAGGTGTGAGAAACCATCATTCGTCTTTATATATATGTATGTAAAAACGATCAATGATATCGACATAATTGGACGCGATGCAATACGTATTTGATGTTTGAATGACATAAATTGTTTGACAAACACATTTTTCTTTTTCCTATAATGTCATTCTTTGAGCAATCGTGTGGATAGGCGCGCGCGCACACACACTCGAACTACCTGTCCGAATTGAATTAAATATCATTATTTATCATCTCACCTCGTTATAGAACGCTATCGCTCTGTTTGTATAATAGTAGATATCATCTTTTTTATTCATTCATTTTCTATACATATTCACAATTATAAACATCGATTTCTTTTTTCTTTTCTTTTTTTTTTTGGAAAAAGCGTATTAATTCAAGTCACTCTTCATATCGATTAAGTACATTCATAGTTGTTGTTCTGATTATTTTTACCTTGACTGGAATGTAATATATCCTTGATGTTCAATATATCCGTTCTCAACTAATATATATATACACTCAAGTCTGACAAACCTTTGACATTGAAGATATCGATCGATGTCAATGTTCTACATGTATAGGTGTGTATAATGTTGTCTATGCATTTAGTTCAATTAACAAGCTGAACAGTAAAGGTGAGAAAAAAAAATCTACATAAGAAATAATCATGAAGGATACGAGTAGCAGAAGAAAAAAAAAGTAAATATAATGTTTATTGAATTGTTATGACCTTGTGAAGGATTTATTAATCATATTTATTTTACAGGAATTGTACTGATATTTCCTTGACTGTTCATTATTATCGAGGATTTTAATCGTTTTTTATCCATATAGATTTGTCGAATAATCATTTGACAAGAACATATCGAAAAGAAACAACCAAGTATAAATAAAAGAATAAGTTTAATAAAAAAAAGACGATGCGTTGAAATATAGGATTTATTCAAATGAAAATAGTCTTCATTTTTTTCTTGAAATATTTTTGTTGAATTCATTGTTTCAAATAATGTTCGACTTGTTACTGAAGAAGAATAGCTTGAAATAAATAGAATGATGATAGATATGATGATCATGATCGTTTTTTTTTTGAAATAAAAAAAATATAGAACTGAATCTTATATTCAAGTTTATGAAGCAATGCCTCATTGATATTTGTTCTTTTTTCTATTCTGACAAAATATCGTTTTATGTCAAATGTCATCACCAATAATAATGGTCAATCATGTCTTTTAATATTATCTAGGCAGAAAACTTATATTCATGGGCAAATAATAATAATATAAATGATGAAAACACAGATATGGAAATATCATCATCTCCAGTTATCAATGATAGTGAGTTTTGTGTCTTGTGAACATATATGTTGATATATTATCGTTCATTGTGTTGATGATGGTGTAAGGTGTGAAGCTTTTTGTGTTCATGTCAAGTGTGAAGGATGTTAAATCGCTATCGTTCTGTGTTCTAGTCAGTAAAGTGTGACTGAATAAGCGAAAGAGGCAAGCAAACAGGTATCATTGTCGATTGCTCTTTTGGTTCGTTTATAACACACTATTCTATCATTTATATCTCTTATTGATCTGCTCGTTTTTTCTTTCTGCCTTCACTTTCATATTAATCAATAGAGAATATCAATCTCATTCATTTTTCTATCAATATATATTCACAAATATGAACAAAAAATTGAGACCTTGATATAAACGTATATATTCTTTTTTTTTTAATAGTTAATCATCATCTGATCGAAAGTAAAGAATATAAATATAAACCACCAACGGCTACAACCATATTGGACATTCTTAGAGTACGTGTTATATACAATGAATATATATAT